GTGCTCACACAAGGACACGCTGACAGGTGGCTGACAGGCAATGCTGCCAGACGATGCTGTGCATCCAAGACCAGGCTGTAGGTCGCGGCAGCAGAATCGTGCTGGTGGGCCCCGTGCAAGCACCTGCACATCTGCCCAGCATGGGCAGAGGGGCGTGGGATGTAAATGAGTGGTTTTTACCAGGTTCGTGCAGGCACTGTGTCCTTTGACCTGACAGGAGTTGTCTCAGAACAAGTGTACCTTTTTTTTTCTCCTTCCCTTTTTTTTTTTTTTTATTTCTGCTTAACCTGTGAATTCCATATCAGGTACTAACAAACATGGCTCATGTCAAAAGAATTCATAATTAACTAAAAGAATTCATAATTAACTTCCACTGCAATTTGTTTGGGTCTCTCTTTACATAAGATATAAGCTCTGGTGGGAATTTGAAATGCTCTGAAGCATACACTGTCTTCTGTGCAACTACTGCTGAGCCTACAGAAAAGCTAACCTGCTGTAACTGCACAGTGTGTGTGTTTGTATATTAGAGATCTCTGACAGACTTGTTTTTCTTTTTCTCTTTCTCTTCCTTGTCTTCTTTCTGCATTGGCAGAGCATCTTGGATTTGAATTAAAGGGTATGGAACAACCATTCATTTATTAATCAGAAGCCATTAAGAGCTGCCCACATTATATTTATGGCTTTAATGGGATGATTAAAAAATCAGCTGTTCTGTTCTCTTCCCTGGCACCAAGATAGATGTTTGGATTGAAAGAAAACCCAAAACCAAACAAAACAAAGCAAACCACAAAATCTAAATGTAAACCTATGAAAATGCATGTGTATTTTTAGCAGCACTTTTTTCTTTGTTTCAAGCAGCAGCTTGGGGTGTGTGGCGTGACTGGGATGTTACAATTGCCATACATCTCCTCATTCAACATGCCTTTGTGTATTTTACCGAAAAGCTGGAGTTTGTGTCCATCCTAAAGGTTGCCAGCAGGCACCGTGTGGGAACTGGCAAGCATTCCAGGGACAGGAAGGCAAGCTTTAGGAAGATCAGGGCTTTTATAGAAATTGCCGTCCTAGATGCATCACCTCCACTGGATCCTGCAAAGGGTCAGGACAAGTTTTGCTGCTCCTCCTCCCAAAGGTTAGCAGCTTACGTTGGTTCTTGACCGGGAGGAAATTATTCCAAGAAAGGTGGCATGAGACAAGTTAGTCTAGAAAGCAATGAGCCCAGGGAAGTCAGTAGTCTCCCATGAGAGTGGAGGCTGTAATGCTGGGCATCATGGTGTCAAGCTGAAGTTTGGAAAAACACTTCAGTAACCTAATTCCTTTTAAAAATAGCCCCTTTGGGCATTTACATGCTCCTGCCCAATTGCTCATTATCATATTATTTTTCCTCCATTGTCCTCAGTCTGTTTTTAGAAATATGTCAAGTATCTATTGAGTAAGCACCTGGGAAATCAAATCCTCAGGGCTAGGTTTCCCTTGAGTGTACAGGCCAACCTCAGCAAGGTCTTGGTCAGATGACAGCGGAGAGATTTATCATTATCACTTAACTTAAAACCAGTGACACGGCAATGTCAACTAGAGCAGATCTTCACATGAAGATGCTTCAATCCCATTTGCTAGAGGTATGGGGACAATGATCTTTCACTTCTGGATCCTAAATTGTCTTCTCAGGTCCCTGAGCTGGAGGGACATGCACTAGCTGAGGCTGGAGAAACCTGTCTCCTCTGGTTTTGTATGCCTGATCCACTGGGATTGGGTGTGTATCCCCCAGCAGTTCCGCTCTGCTGCAGAAGATGTGTGGATTTTATGGTCAGGTGTTTCAGAGAAAGTGGTGCTGCTAATGCTAATACACTTAAATAAACTTTAAAATTGAGGATTTTTGACATCCCTTTTTTGTTGACCTTTTGTCCTTTTCCTCACCCATTCTCAATGTCATCACAGAACCGCACACATCCTGTTCCCAGTCTGCAGCTGTCTCTGTCATTCGTCTTTCACTTTCATGCGTTGCTGTGACACCCATGGCTGGACTGTGATTCTGTCGGCATCATGTGGCACCACGTGGTTTGTTCATAGTGTTTGATGATGTAGAGTGCCGATGCTGCTGATGAAGACTTGGTGTTTGTAGACCATAGAGACACAAATGGACAAGTCCTACTCCAGGATCCTACCTTCTCAAACACAAAATTGTAGTGTGCATTCTGTTATTTTCTTTCTGTCCCTGTTGAGATGGTTTTGTGCAACATGAATATACGGTGTTATCGAGCATCAACTTTAATGAGATGTTAGGAGCTAAGCTAAAGTACTATCAGCACATCATCTAATTTTTAGTTTTGCAGCAGTGACTCACACTTCACTGCTTCACATAGCAGAGCTGTCAGCTCGACAGAGAGGCTAAATCTGCATGTCTGATGAACCAACCATTCCTCATGCAATGCAGGAGAAGGTTCAGTACAGTCAGGCAGTCATGCCGGAGTCAGGGTCCCATACTGACATGATCCCCAGAACACAGGCTCTCATTTGAGCCTCGGGCAGAAAATTTTGTCATGTAGATAATAGATTAAATTAAAAAAAGACAGAGTTTTGATGGCTTTGCTCTTTCTCCCTTCTCCATGATTCAAAGGGAACGGTTGATGCTTGGAATAAAAGTCTTTGTAGCAAAAAACATAGATGGTGAAGAATATTTGAAAAAACTGGCCTGATGGATGAGTCCATGGTAAAAACAGACCTCCTGCCCAGCTTGTTTTGTTTTGCTAAAAGTAGTTTTTGCTGGGTAGTAGCAAAACTAACCCAAACCATTCTGTGATTCTATGAAAATTCTTGCCTGCTGCCATCCATAACCAGGACATGATCCTAGCTGTTTTTTCTGATTCTGATAAAATCTCTGAAACTCCTGTCTGAAGGCAAGAGCTTTACAGCTGGAATCCAGGTCCCAGAGGTGTGCAAGAGCAAGAAAACTTGTCTGCCATGGTTGTTGATGCCTGGAATAGGACATCTGTGCACCAGAAACATGTTGCTGAAAGAGGTGTTTCACCCCAGAGTGAGGTCTTTCCCCATGCCAGCCCCACCTAGTTCCTTGTAGTAAAAGACAAGGAAGGTAAGGTCAGCTGACACCCAAACCCTGCTCCACAGCCAGGTCCCAGGCCGAACAGGCTCAAGCTCTGAGGAGGAGCCGCTGGCTGGTGAAGCTGCTGCGGCACAGTAACTTTCACCCCAGGTGAGACCCGTGACTGCTCCTGGTCCACACCACTGTGGAGATGGAGTCTGGGCGGGTCTCAGCTGCCCACCTCTCTAGTGAATGGTGGGACATTGCCTTTCTGGCAACTCCACTGGCACCCTGAGCACCTCATGAAGCCAAAGGCCTGTGCACAAACAAAACGGGTGGAAGTGTATTTCTTTAAACTGCAGCTTTGCAGCACAGTCATGAAGCAAGGTCTGCTGGTTATGTTTTGCTTCTTCATGCCAGGGCTGTCATTCTCAGCCCCTGTTTAGCAAATCTTTCTTCATTCCCATTTTGAGAGTTAGAAAGAGATAAACATTTTCCCTAGCACTTCTTTTTTTCTTCCAAAACTGCTTTTTCCTTCCTAAAATGGTCTAAATACTCAGTTATCTGGAATGTTTCATTGCTTTCCCCTCACAGTTTTGCTAAATCTAGTCCCAGGGGTTTCTGGGACCAGACCTGTTTGTTTTCTGGTCTTGTATTTCATTGTTTGGTACCACAGGGGACATCATTTAGTCTATTCAAGGTATTCAGTGTGGCATGGTGAACCACGCCAAGCACAGCAACCATGGCATGAGTTTTATTTCCTAATCTATATGAAAAAATATTTTTGTAACTATTAAAGAAGGCACAAACCGCAATAACTTTTAACATTAACACATAGTGTAGGGACATGAGGAGATCATTCACTGATGCTGAACTACAGTGCTCATGGCAGCTGTGTACCGAATCCTTCCCTCAGTCATCCAGCTGGACAACCAGATTGCCCCTGCTGATCTCAGTGGAGATTGCTGGATGTCGCTAAGGAGAGCATCTGCTCTGGTGTAGCCACAGAGGAAGAGGTGTCCTTGCCATGCGATTGCTGTTGAGGTGTAGTTCAGTTACACTGAAAGCAACACCCCAGCATTTCCTTGGAGCTTTGATTAACATGAATGAATTACCTCACTTCCAACATGGTGTGAGTTTTTATGCAAGTGACTGAATTTTCTGGTTTGAAAGGTGATCCATGACAAGTTATGACATTTGAGAGAAACAGCAGCATGCTGCTTGAATTTTATGTGTGAATTGGAGTTACTTATCTCGTTCAATGGAATGAATCACTTCCTAGGGTTTCATTAAAAATCCGTAACTGTAATTGGTTGCTGTATGTTAATTGCTCCAGTCCCTTTTCTTTGTCTAACACTTTTCCACCCTCATTCTGCTTTTTGACTGTTTTAGGATGTCCCTTTCAGCACCTACATGCTTTGGGGCCTGTTGCTTGGTGGTTTCTAGCACACCTCCGAGCTCCAGGGCATGCAGCCGCTGCAAGGAAAAGGCATTCTGAGTCCGTCAGAGCAGAGAGCCTGTGATGAGAACATCACAGGGCATGCATGTACGTGGTGAGTGGGGAATGCTCGGGGACTTCCTATGTAGGCTACCAAGCTGCTGAGAAGGTGGGAATCTGCTGGAAGGGAGAGGAGAGTCATGGGCCTTTTTGGGATTAGTCACTGATTTATGCTGTGGGAAAAGAAGAGAAAGCGAGAAGTGTGTTAGAGTGCAGAAGGGGTAAGCGAGAGAGGGCAAAGATGCAGAGAGACAAAAGGAGTGGAAGTCTCTTGAGGGGTGAGTAGGGTTGGGCCAGCTGGTCTCAGGTTTTGGGCAACTATTAGAGATGGGCAGTGGATTGGTAGGAGGTCTGACCAAGCCCTGTTCTCCGTCTTACTCACACGCAGTGCTGGTTCCTGTGCAGCCGGAAGCATCCCTGGTGCTGGAGTCCATTTGTAACTGGTTTCTTTCTCTCCATTTGCAGAAGCCGAAGAGCTCTACCAGAAGAGAGTGTTAACCATCACAGGAATCTGTGTTGCCTTGCTTGTGGTGGGCATCGTCTGTGTCGTAGCTTATTGTAAAACCAAGTGAGTATGGATGGTTAACAGACATTAACTGGCCAGAGGTTACTGAGTGGTAGCGTTCATGCTTCACAGTTTCATGCTCTTCACCCAAATACTATTTTAAGGAGATATTGTGCTATTCCAAGGTCACATGAAGGAGGCCAGTGCAGCTATCTACCAGGCTGTGCCTGAACAGGATGTTTTCCTGGGACCATTTGCTCATCCCGTGAATCAGCATAATTTTGCCCAGCCAGGTGATGCTGTGTACTGAGAAAAGCTGCCCCCCAAGCCAGCAGCTCATCTCCTGACAGCAGAAGCACACAGGAGCTGTGGGCTCAGCTATGTACATTTGAGGGACTTTCAGAGTAATCTTGCTTGAGAGGCTTGGGGACATCTTTTTTGCCCAGCCTTCCCTTCCTGGACAGCACCTTCTTTGCTCCTTAGCCTGCACCTCACCCGAGTTCAGGCTGATGAGGGACACAGGGTGCCCTGTAGAGTGGATGCCCTGCCAGGGGCACAGATAGGCTTTGCCACTTTGTGCTTAATCCAGGGCAGGTCAAATGCCTTGCACCAAGGCCAAGCCAGGACCTGCTTCCCATTTTCCTTCTCCCCACTTTTCTCCTCCACTCCCAGCACCATGATGACCCTGGCTCCACTGCATTGTACTAGGCCTTGTCTTGTAAAAGAGGACCCGGGACCCAACTTCCCAAATTGCCCATGATGAGAAATACTGACCTTTTTCTAGAAAGAAACAGAGGTGGCAAATGTTGAATGCCTTGTTTCTTCCTGTTTGCAGCTTTCCACTAACACTGGTGAAACACTGAGTGTGCCTGAGACTTGCCTTCTGTATCATCTGCATCCCCCAGGTATCTACGAGGGTAGAGACCCCCAAGAGATAAGTCTTCCTAATAGACTTTTTCTTTTCTGTTTTAAAGGAAACAAAGAAAACAAATGCATAATAATTTACGGCAGAACATGTGCCCTGCCCATCAGAACAGGAGCCTTGCAAATGGGCCAAGCCATCCACGTTTGGATCCTGAGGAAATCCAAATGGCTGATGTAAGACTTTTTGTCTCCGTCTTCTTGTTGCTGAGTGCCTATTTTCCACCAGAGATTTGACGTGGATGCGTATGCTTACACACCTGTGTGGATGTTCGTGAGGAGCAAACCACTAACACTTGAGCAAAAAGATGTGATTCTGCATAGAAAGGTTTCCAAAACCAACATCTGAAGGGAAATGTGATTTTGCTTTGAAGCACAGGATGAGATTAGGGCACTTGGGACAGGCTTGTTTTGATTAATCAAGTGTGATCCTGTTTTCCTCTAAGAATTCCCAGTGTTTCCTGTTTATTAATCATCAAGCCCCATTTTGTGGCATGACAAATGTGATCGGTGTGGCGGTGGCCTGAGCCATGGTGGTGACCATCTTGTGCTGAAGCTTGTCATGGTCATCTCGTCAGCATGATGTTATCCCACCTGCCCATACCAAGAATTGTGTCCTGGTGGGTTCCGCTGTTACACCAGTGAGAGAGATCTAAGAATTTAGGACAGGATCTCGAAGGGCAGTTCAGCCACTCGTGTCTTCAGTCACGTGAGGTTTCCCTCAAACTCTGTGAACTCAATGGGATTGTCAATGTGCTTAAGTGCCTTGCTGATCAAGGCATTGAAAGGGGTCAGAAAAAGGCAGGGGATAGGCAGAGCCAAATGGAAAGAAATACTGATCAGTTACAAGCTCTGTTAGGTCACCTCTTGGATGTTAAAATTTAGCTAGGTTGAATCCCAGCCATTAAGGAAGAGGGAAAGGGAATTTCTAAGAACCACAGACATCTGGCCCCAAAGTACTGGCTCCCCCAGAGACCTTAGTGTCCCTGTGAAAAGCAGTGCTTCTTGTTAGATGAAGGAATATCTCAGCATAAATATTTGGATTACACCTGTTGTTTCTGTAGGACTCGTATCTCTGGCAGATCTCATGTGACTGTCTTTTGGCTGGTACTCTGTTGAGTGTATGTCGTGGTTTAGCCCCAGCCACCAAGCAAGTACCACACAGCTGCTCGCCCACCTCCCCCCTCCCCCATTAGGATGGTGGGGAGAATCGTAGGAGAAAGATAAGAGAACTTGTAGGTTGAGATAAGAACAGTTTAATAATTGAAAGTAAATTAAATAAAATAATGATACTACTACTAATAGTAATATTTAACAAAAATACTATTACTACTAGTAACAATGATATTAACATGTAATAAAAAGAAAGGAAAAAGGGAAGGAAACAGAATGATACAACTGCTCACCACCGGCTGACTTACACCCAGACAGTCGCTGAGCAGTGACTACTCTCCCAGCCACCTCCCTCAATTTATATGCTGAGCATGACCTTTGACAGCATGAAATGTCCCTCCAGTCAGCTGTCCAGGCTGTGTCCCCTCCCAACTTCTTGTAGAGAAGACACTGGGAATACAGGGGAAGTATCAGAAACTGGAAAAGTCCTTGACTTGGTACGAACATTCCTTAGCAACAACTAAAAACATTGGTGTGTTATCAATATTCTTCCCAACACATATCCAGAACATAGCCTCATACAAGCTAATGTGAGGAAAATTAACTCTGTCCCAACTAAAACCAGCACAGTGTATATCGTCCTGTAAGCAGAGAAGTTTTTCTGCCCAGTGGAACCACTGGTACCGCTGTCCTCTGGGGCACCCCTTGGCTCTTCATACCCTTCTGCAGTCCCCGTGCCACAGCCCTTTTCCACGGTTCCAAGTGCAGGGGCAGCAAAGCCTCCTTGTTGGTTTCTGTGGCGTGCAGAGCTGCTGTGTTCACACAGTCCTCATCTGATTTCACCAGAAATAACCAAGCCAGCCAAATTTGGCTGTAGCAGCTGATCTGTGTGATTCTTCATATTTTACAGTATATTTCTAAGAACGTTTCTGCCACCGAGCATGTGATCCGAAGGGAAACAGAGACAACCTTTTCAGGAAGTCACTCCTGCTCCCCATCTCATCACTGCTCCACAGCCACTCCAACGTCCAGCCAGAGGTGATGTATACCATTTTCCCCTGAACTCTCTCCTGCTGTTTGCCATAGGATGCTGTGAGATTCAAAGCCCATAAAAGGTTTTCCCTTCACCTCCCTTTCTGTTTTTACATGATGTTTGGCACTACACTGGCATACCGGCCATGTCAACACTGCAGGTCTTTGCTGGCACAGCTAGTTAGTGACAGGTGTGGAAAGGTGTGATCCTTGACCTGCAGCGAGGGGCCAGAAGGAACCAGCAGTGCTGACGTAGCTGAAAACTGGAAGGAAATGAAGTCATGCTTTCATGCTTTGCACAGACATAAATGGGAGGGTGCATCTAGGAAAGAAATGTTTGGCAAGTTGTCTTTGCAACCACACTGGACACTTGCAATAATTCATTAAGCACACGCAGGTTATTTGTTTCATGCTTGATATGTTTAGAATGTATTTGCCTTGTGGAAGGCAAAGTACACAACACATCACAAAATGTTTTGGCCAGTTCCGCAAAGTTAGGGTCTGACTTGAGAGTCACAGTTTTTCACCAGAAAAGAACACTCCTGTGCAGTTTACCAGAATCCAGAAAGTTGCATCTCAGCCGCTGAGGTGGTGGCAGCTCTTTCACTGGAAGCCTTTCGGAAGCTCTCAGGAAAACGGGCTAGCAGGACAGTACTACTAATTCTTGCTACAGAGGATGAGGCTTTTTTTTTTTTTTTTTACATTTCAAAATAGATATCTGGGGGAAAGAGCATCATGTCTTGGAAGCTGTGGTTCTCATGGTTTCTGAGAGCATTGAAGTTGCAAATGGAGCTTCTTTGGTTTTTGTAATGCCCAGAAGAGTCTTTCAAATGCTTTAGAGAAAGCCCTGTGCTGTTTTGAGTTTTGATGTTCAAGTTCTTTCTCTTACGTAGCTCTTGTTCTTCTTTTGGTGACAGTGTTTTCTTGAGAGCTCTTGGCCTTTGGAATGTGACTGTGAGGTGCCGGGGGGCCATATCTACAGCCTGTCAATGACACGTAGATCACATTGCATTGACTTTATGAAGCAAAAGATGTCCTGGCTTATTTACTTCATCAGCCCCATGTGTTCGTCTCCATTCATCCAGGAACTAACAAGTCCTTTCAGCTAAAGCTCAAACATGGCTCCTGGCAGGGTTCTTCGGGGTTGAGGCATTCATCAGAGATGAACAAGTACTCTCAATGCACAATGCGTCAGATCAACTTCAGATACTGAACTTAGGTTTTCAGGCAAATTCCTCCCCATACTCCTCTGGCTAGACCTTCAACAAGTAGAGAGTAAGCCAAAAATTACTTGCTGGGCTGGAAATGCCTGCCTGTGTCCGGGGAAATCCTACCCCTGGTGAGCTAGACTGTGTGTTTTCCAGTTTTTTTTTAATTCGTATGCTGTGGCCCAACCCTGGCTGGGTGTGTGCAAGCTTGAGCCAGGCACACAGAAGCTCATGTGCTTGTAGAGCTGCACCTTGCTGGCCTTCCATGCTCACTTCAAAATCTGGTGACCCCAGGGCCATCTCTGGGCACCTCCTGAAGATGAAAGGCGTGTCTGGAGGGCAGCATTAACACATGACAGCTGTGGGGAGGCACCTACCTTGCATAGCCTCTGGTCCTGGCTACCTGCCATCTCATCTTCCTGAGTCAGGTGCAGCAAGCAGGTGTTTCTTGAAGTCATGCCAGAGGCAAACTACTGGCATAATCAGGCTCTAACGAGGACACTGTTTCAAGTTATAAATGAGTGTGGTGGTTGCAGCCACGTGTGTGCCTGGAGCCATCAATAATTAACAAGTTCTTGAGAAGTCTTAATGAGACTTGCTGTTCTCTGCAAACCCTCACCCAAAGTCCTCTGCTGGTACATCTCCATCTGGTGCAGTTCGGGCGTTCAGAGCTGTTGCTGTAATGGATCCCGTATTTCATAGAATCATAGAATC